TGAGAAACTTTTTTAAAGCCGTAAGATACATTTTCTTTGGGCATAAGATTCGAAGAAGACGTTATGAGCTACTAAATGAGTACGAGGAAGAATATTTTGTGCATGTTTTGGCAAAATATTTATGAATTTATAAGGGCATCAAAAAAGACATAGGAGATACACACTACTTAAGCAGCTACTTTTTACCGACTGTGGTTTTTATAGACGGCCGAAAAGAAGTGCCTTTAAAAACCAACGCCGTGACGTATCTGGAGTATTGGGGCATTATGCTGCAAGATAATCAGTGTTACAACCACAGTTAAGTAATCCTTACTAATCGACAACACACTTCACGATTTCGTCAACATTTCATGAGATCGGTCAGTGACTGTAGCCTCCTACCCGAGCACCTCCATGTGAAAACCAATGGCTTTTTCAGTACTCTGGTGTATTAGAATCCGGTTTTACATGAACCGATGTCATTTGTGAATGACTTGATTGTCCGGCATCCAATGGGAAACAGGCTCTCTGACTGGTATTTGTAAGCCATGCCCAAGATACGCGACTCAAAATCGTCCACTTTATTTATGGACTGCGAGAGGTAGACGATAATCCACCCCCAAAACAAGATGGCAGAGGGGTTCAAGCACACATACGAGTAGATTTATAAGAAAGTAAAAAGTTCAAGAGCCTTGACTGGTGCACTAATTCGATTCATAAGTGGAGATGAGGCGGCAGAGAGCAACCTTGATTTGAGTAAATCATCGTGATTGTGGTGAAACACTTGAATTTTCCTTATATTTCAGACCCATCCGTATAGTCATCAGTACACGCCAGTGAGAAGGGAATTATCAGAGATGTGGACCAGTCTCGACATAACAAAGTCTGACGATGCAATAAACACAAGTTACTCTGAAAATTAGCGAGGAAATCTTATTGCCAGAAGGCTTCACCGACATGGCATGAGAGATTCGCCATAAAAGCAAAGTCTGGGTTGAAATCGCAGGAGGCACATCGAATAAAAGGCTACGTGCCCACCTGATCCCCCCCCCCCATATCGGTATGTGCTCCGCGATAATTGCTCCGGCAATGCTACAGGATATCTTACCGATGGGCAGACCCTTAGTCTCCAATCTGTGCACGTCTTCAAAAAGTCTCTAAGGCAAAATACATGATCGTCACTTAACCTACGAGTTTACGACCAACGCTGATGCAGAATTAGGGATGCAGTGGAGTTCGAGCCAGGCTTTGGGCTGCGAAAACACAGAAATGAAGGGTGCGATGCCTCGATCAACACAAGACATGAAGCCCAGGATGGTAGACCAAAGAAAAGGAAGATCGCCCTGATGGCCAGGGCAGAGTTGCCTGTATTTGGGCCGCGAAGTCTTGTAACGCAACAATCGACAGCAAAGTGAAGGACAAAGTTGGCCGGACGCCTGGCGAGCTTCAATTTTAATTGTGCAATGGCTCCCGCCCCCATCTGTCCATGATGCCAGGCTGATAAAAGGTGGTTGCATAAACTAAGCCACCCTACACCTCCGAGACTTGGAGCATCTGTGAAAAGCAAGTCAGAAGACTCGATATTGGGGCTCTCTTCGAGGGAATTTAAGGTAAAACGAAGAGAGCAGGTTCCCAGCACGAAAGTGAACCTGTCTGCTCAAAACCCTCACAACATTGGAGTAGACCCAAATCCGATGGAGCGGCCGCGTAATGCAAGTATCAAACCTCTTACAACGGCTATTCTGCAGAGATCCTCTCGGTGTAGTTCAGATGAAAGGGAGACAAAGACAACGCTAAGACGAGACGTTAAGAACTTCACTGAAAATATCCGAAAATTGACCAGGAATCATAGGAGACTGTGGCCCAGGATTGAAAGATATGATGGCCTTCTCCGCATGCAGGGTAGTGGCATAAATAACAAGGGTTAGAAGGTGATTTCGTAGCATAAAGGAGCAATCTTGGTGGAGGACATATCTCTGCCATGCGTCCTGTCGTCAACAGGGACCTTGATTATGCTTGGCAAACACTTTACAACACTTCCGAAAAATGGCATGAACGTATCGCTGAGAAATCGCCCAGTTATCACCAAGACTGGTTTAACTGATGACCACCCAATTATCCTAATGCCACACAAAAACCGGCCATGCCATGTCCGCGACAAAGAAACAGAGATGCGAGTAGCTGTCTCGGAAAGTTCAGACGAACTGCCGCCTGCTGAAGACGAAAGTACAAGACCCAGGTGAGTCAGACCTTGAAGGGGAACCATATTCGGCGACCAAGAAATGCTGAGTCGATGAAGTCAACTTCAACTGTGGAGTGACAGCAGTGATTTTCGATACTCCGTGTAGATCAGAAATTTGTCCAAAATCACCTTCACGCGCCTTACCTTACTCTTCTTTCTGGAAGACGTAAAGAGAGAAATGGGGGGAAGGGGAGGGTGGTCGAGCTTGCACACCCTTTACTCACGATGGTTGAGCTGAAGAGCCTAGAAGTCACGCGGACTAAGGTGGCCTTTCAGACTGACAGTCGAGTTGCTATGGCTTCTTCCTAGTGTAAACTCTAAAGTAGTCCTTAGGACTGAAATAAGCTGCACAGAAAGTCTTCAGTGTCTGGAAATGAAACTTGCTGAAAATGAGAAATATTTGCGTTGACGGAGGAAAAGGTATTGTCAGCCTCTGCGAGAGATCTGTTTTTCGTTCTTGACTTGGTCCCGGGAGAGAGGCATGTTAATGCTGAAAAGAGTCAGGTTGATTGTGCGTACTATTCAACTTTATTTCGACGCATACAGTGGGCATCGCGAAAAGTAATCTTCCGCGAGTCTTCCCCCATCCGTCGATCGAATGAGGAATGGTCGAGGGATACTGCAGGTTGACTAACCGCTCCGAACAGTCTCTTTCGCGAAAGATGACAATTTCAAATGCAGTAGAAGTAGGGATTTACTGAAATTTGTACATGCACTAACCAACCAGACGGTTTGGAGGGAACTCACACTTCGAATTGATTCCATGATTGCCGGAGCGACTGGACGGCAGAGCTTTGGAGAGCCGTGACGACGGCTTTAAATGCAGAAAAACTTCTCAGCTCTCGCAACCTCTGAAACAGCAAAGGCAGAGGGAAAAAAAGCAATTTATAAGTCTTATGGGCCTTTGTGAGTCAAAAGAAAATCTAAAAAAACTGACGACACGTCACCTGATGAACCCTCTAGCTGCGATTTTGGGCAAACTAGGGTGCATCCGCGATTCGTGCTTCGACGTGTCAATACACATACACTTTCAAGAATTTACCTGTATAAATGACAGCTTTTTATGGGAAGTTTGTTCGCCTTGTCACCAGGTAGGACGATTTGAGACATTTTTCTGTAACAACAAGAGTTCTGGTCCGGCAAAGTTAGCTCTAACTCTGGAATGGCTATAAAATTGGACTTCACTTCTGCGGTCTGCCAGACATTGAGCTAGGGCATGGTAGCAAGTGACGACAAATTGACCAAAAATAACGATTAAATTTATTCTTGTTTCGTCGATGATAGGTCTTGGTCACTGACCGGCAAATTTCTACGTAAATTAATAAAATCGACTCTGTGTGTATGCAAAACCGTCACTCTGCTCATATATGAGAAGCTTACGATCAGCAAAACCCGCCAATGGTTCAATGGCAGAGGATTAGACTTGTAAACGTTCGATGATTAAAGAGCCCAGGTTGGAATTCCAAGTCCACAAACTTGGGATCGGGTGTGACTTATAAGCCGTCATCAGCCAGTCACGTCCAACCCCAGGTTCGGATAACCCGGGATCCAAACTCAAGCACTTTAGTCCGTGAATATTAAGTAATTCAACGTTCTTCCACTAAGCCCGCAAGAATAGCCATCGAATCGTCACCGTGAGGATGGAAAGGCCGAGGTTTCCGAAACGTCAGCACAAATACAATTCGGTCCATGAACTCAGCACCTTTTCTTATTTACCTTCTTCAGCGGGTCATGAACGCGACAAGGTATCCGAACCTTGAATCTTCAAGCGTATATCAGTAAGCACAGCCTTTCGAAACAACTGGCAAAGCTAAGGGATGTATGAAAAGTTTCGACGACTCTTTAATTACCGCAGCAAAAGATCTTTATTTAGTCCATTTAAGCCCGATAGGCTGTAGGTTCGAAGCCCGGTTGGGGCTGAACCATTATTATTTCTGTTCCATCCGTGGGTTTTCAGTTACACAAAAATAGGGCCCTCAGTTCCAAAGTCAATGCGTATAAACACCGGCAGACATAGGGTAAGGGTGAAAGCCCATGCCTTATGCACTTTAATTTTTATCGGGGCAACCCCACAATTTCGGTAGAAGGTATGAGGATCTCGCAGGAATCAGCAGGGGGGAATGAGGGGAAAAACAAATTACATATAGAAGGCGATTAAGACTTATGAGAGGTACCGAAGTAGTAGCATTAATAGGTCACAGGTGAGTCTTAAAAGACAACAGAATGAAGGTAATATAAGCAGCAGAAAATAATAGAGAATAGAAAATTGGACATTAGGAGCAGTTGAAGAGGTTAGAAATGGAAGAAAAGAAATAAAGGAGGAAGACAACTGTATAGAGCAGATAAAAATGGGTTCAGAGAAAGGAAGAAGGAGTGAGAGAGTAAGGCGAAGGAGAAGGGATGCGAAGAAAGGCCAAGCAGATTGATTAAGAAATCTGAAGAAAGAGAGGAGGAGACAAACATAGGCAATGGAGGGGGAAGTGGAGGAAAAGAGTAATTA